ATGCCTGTCTGAGTGCTTGTCGGCTGAGTGTGTGTGTGACCTGCAAGGGTACTTGTTGGTTGAAAGGCCCCGCAGGGCCGGTACTTACCTGTGGCTGTGACTTTGAGGGTTGCAGTGGGGAAAACACTCAAGTAGCGGGGGTAGGCCCGCACCACTTAGAGCAGCGGGGAAAAACACTCAAGTAGCAGGTAGGCCGGTACCACTCAAGTAGTGGTAGGAGTGTCGGGTACTGGAGGCCGAGCAGAAGAAGACAAAAAGTTGGCATTTTTAGAGGCCCAGTAGCGGTAGGATAGAGGTAGGCCGGTACCAGTCCAAGTAGCCTGAGTCTAGGGCCTGTCTGGACAATAGCAGCGCCTGCAATGATGTTTCCCTCCGAAAGGGAGGAGGTACCGGTTGCTGGGAGGCCGCTCGGCCTAGGAAGTCACCGCCCAAGAGGCAGGTAGGCCGCTATATCTTTCGGAGGAGCAAGCAGCTCCTCCTCATTTGTGGTATGCAAGGATAGGCGACATGCTGCTGAGCCAAGCGCTGGACTTGTGCAGTGCTGCCTGGAGGTGAAGGGCAGCTGGGCGCTCAGCCTGGCTATGGTGAGCAGCCCAGCTTGAGGAGGAGGAAGAAGGGGCGAAGTAGGAGAGTGGTGAGGCACCTACCTGGCTATGGTGGACACCATCTTCATCACCTTGTTGGGCGCTGCATCTGGAAGTTGGGGTAGTGCCGCACCAAGGAAGCTCGAGGCAGAGTCAGGCATGGCGGCTTAGTCAGCAGCGGCATAGCTGCTCTGGGTTGTCCTTTGGACAGGAGTGCAGCGCCATAGGTGCTTTGGGTTGTCCTTTGGACAGGAGGGCAGGGCTCTCAGAAGAAGGAGAGAAGCCATAGCTATGGTGGACCTGTTGTAGTGTCAGCTGTAAGAGGGAACTTCGGATATTGATTCTGGTTCATCCACTCATTGTTATTATTATTATTATTGGAAGAAGAATAAGATTGGCGAAGTGAAGGAGGAGTGGGAAGGTGGGGAGAGAAGGGGGATTTGTCATTGGTCTTGCTGGTGTACATCTTCTTGTTCTTGTTCTTCTTCTTCTTTCTCTCTTCTTTGGTCTCTATCCCTTTGCAAGTGCTTTCATTTCTTTCGCAATTGGGTGGCATTGTCTTTCATTGTGAATTTGCACATTGGGAATGACCAGAATCGTAACAGTTTTTTTTTTTTTTTTTTTTTTTTTTTTTTTTTTTTTTTTTTTTTTTTGGCCGAAGCGCTGTTGTTTGGGATCCCGGACAACCCCCCTGACTGTCTCCCAGAGACGTCCGGGGGAGACGTCTCCGGATTGGACAGCTGGCCGCCTTGGTAAAAACTTGCAAAAAACAAAAAGCGATTGGGATTCAATTCCATGGACTAGTGGAACGATGCGAAAAACACGAAAATGTATATATATATATATATATATTTTTTTCATTTCTAGGACAACAATTGACATCATAGGAAGGTCATTGTGCTAGAAACTACTACAAACTTGCAAATACAGATACAAAAAAATAAAAAAAATAAAAAATGCTAGGCTACCAAAGTGAAACGGTTTTCACCTTAGCAGTAGCAGATGCAGATCCCAGGGCTAGATCCCTAGACCTTGCCACACCCGTGTACAGTATTGAGTCGACCCCTGTGTGTTTGAACCCGTGACCTGTGTTTTGGTAGTTGACTGTTGCCTGTCGTAGGTCCGTATAGCTGTAGGGGTTCGATCTGTAGGTCTGTCGACTAGGGGTCATAGTTGTGTAGAGACCGGAGCTGTAGCACTTCTGAAAGGTCAAGGTCGTAGCTGCCACAGTCCTGAAAGGTCAAGGTCGTAGCTGCTACAGTCCCTGTTACATGCCCAGTTGGGCGATGTACATATATAACCAAGGATCCGCAATGTGATAAAAAGGACTGAATGGACAATGCAGTGCAAGTAGAATCTCAACAAGCAGTGTACATTCTGATGCATACAAGAATGTTGCTTTATAGCGCAGTGGAAGACTTAGATACAAGTCCTGACCTGACGGGGACTGACCTCTCTTACGTAGTACAAGACAGCGCAGCAGAATGCTAGAATACCAATGACGAGCCCAATCAATGTTGCAATGCAGACTAAACATACATCATCTTCATCACAAGGTGTGAAGGAGGCCTGGCGCTACACACAGGAAGCATGCGCCAGGTCCTGATCATGCACAGACGAAGAGGAGGGGAACAGACGAAGAAGAGGAGGGGGGAGATGGGAAAGTCGTCAACACCAAGTCTTCGTTACAAGTCCCAAATAATCCCTTGTCAAAATGTCTGAAGCCCAACATCGAGTCTGGATCCAAATGTCACCAAGTTCTCTCTCTCGTAGTCTGCTGATGCAGTGAAGTCAGATAGCAGGAGGGTGAGAGGGAGATGGTGGACTGAGAAGAGGAAGAAGAAGAACTCTCTCTCTCTCTCACGTGCCAGGTACTAACCTGTGAAGTTGGCGCTGTGCTGCAGGTACCTCGAAGACGAAGCTGTGAAACGGTTTTCACCTTTTAGCAGTTGCGGATGCAGTACCCAGGGTTCGATCCCTAGACCTCACCCTACCCATGTACAGTATCTGTGTAGACCCCGAGAATCGAACCTGTGACCTGTGTATTCGTAGGCAGTTGGTAGGCCTGTCGTAGGTCCATAGGCAGCAGGGGTTCGATCTGTAGGTCTATAGCGTAGGAGTCTTAGTGAGT